AAAGCCCTGGACCGTTCCCAGAAAGGATGGGTTGTGTCGAAAAGGGGCATCCTCGGCCACGTCCCTCGGTAGAAGTCCGCAGCACTCTTTGTGCTGGGGAGCTAATGCAGTTCTACCGCCTTTTTGTTTCAGTAAGTGCTTGAAATCCGTATTTTGTCTCTGTGGCGAGGGCTCAGCCATTCCCCAGGGGAACAACCAAGAACTGCGGAGTTTACAGCCCAAGCATTGCCTGCTCCAAACCATCACCGTGCCCTGGCAGGGGCTCACAGCACGCACAGGTCTGTAATTATCACAGTTTATAGCCTCTGCTGTGACTGCTGTAACCGTCTAAAATCACATCACACACAATTACTGCGTTCACAGAGGAAGTATTTCACCAGACAAGGCAAGACTTACAAACGAAATAATTTTATTGAGTCTCTGCTTCTATAGCATGTGGCACATAAAGAGAATTAAGACACAAGGTGTGATGAGAAATTATGAATTTGTCCTTCACTGAACAAAGGATTCATCTTACCCAGAAAAACAACACAAATACCCTTCTCTGCTCGTCGTGATGTTCAGCAAAGGCTGATGCTGTGACATTTAGGAGATGGAAACTGAAGTTGACCTGAAAGTTGACGCAGTGCTGCTAACCCGATGTGAGGAGAAACGGCTGCCCTGCTAGCAAATTTTCTTTTAACTCCAAACCAAAATATTTGCACTTACTTAATTTAGTTATAGTGGAACAAAGAGCACTAATGTACTTATTAAGTCAGAGAAAAATCCACAATGAGAAAGTGTCCAAAATCCACATCTGTCTGATAAAGATCAGCTGATTTCGCTGTCTTTGCAAAGCTAGAACTTGGGATGTCGTAACTTTTGTTTTATAACTATAACATTTTTGGCCTTTGCAGCCAAGGAACCAGCAAAGTTTAAGTTTTTCAAAACTTGATCTTCCCCCAGGGTTTGGGCCTTAGAAACTTTTCTCATTAAGGAAGTGCTGACAGTTCAAGAAAAAAGTTTGGAAGGTTTTTTTAGTATGGGTCATGTTTCTGTATTTCCCTTTACCCTTTATTATTAGGATCACATCAGAAATGAAGATGTAGAGCTCATGCAAGGATGTCACCCGTTTCTGTAACCCCTTTCCCCCGTTATGTCCGACCCCACTTGCGCAGCGTGGCTCTGGGTGACGCGGTGACACGCGGGGGATGCACAACGGTGACAGAGGGGTCTCAGGAAACCATCCATGCAGGTAGCTCAGGAGACTTCAAATACAAGGAAAAAACCCAGTTTCCCCCCTGAGGATCCAACGGCATTTCTATATATGACAAAAGGAGTCTGGGATACACACACACAAACTCTACCAGCTCATGAACACCTCTGGACGAAAGGGAACCGGTGAGCACGGGGGCTGACCGCGGGGGTGAGGATGCTCCAGATCAGCAGTGCCCGCCGCCGCTGCTCTTCCCCGCGGGCACAGGCGGTGGCAGGGCCAGTCCCCACGTCCCTCTCCTGGCCGCCTGCGCTGCCTGTGGACACCCAGAGCATCCGCGCCTCTCCAGCCTCCGCACGCGCTAAAAACTACTGTACATGTTATTTTACAGACCAAACTTCCAGCACATGTCTCAGTCCACCTTCTTCCTCTGGAAACAGATCCATACAGTAAAAGCCACAAGAAAAACATCACCTTGGGAGACATATTAGACAAAGACGTATTTGACCACAAAACGGGTTTCTGCCTTTACTTACAACTAGACTGGAAAGTCTCGCTGCTGCCACTGCCACTCGGCCACAGATTACTGAGACTGCAGGCCAAGCGCAGAAATAACTCGGTTTAGTCCCGTTTCGCTCGCCGCTCCCTGCATCACGGCGTGGGTGGTGGTTTGGGCGAGGGACAGGAACCCTGGCTGTCAAAGCTCGCTGCCCGGCCTTGCCACTGGTGGGAGAAAACAGAAATCGAGTCAAAGCAAAGGAGCGAGGTTATCTGGAATCTCATCACACCCCGTTACTGCGCTGCCCCTCTCCTGGCTGCAGCGTCCTCATCTGCTCTGCAGCGCGTTTCAGCTTATTGAGCGCCTGTGTTTAACCACTCAGGAAGAATTACTGAACAATTTACTTTATTGCTTTGTAAATCAATTCACAATCATGAGGACCGCTCACAAAAAGGGAAAAACAAACAGCATCTCTATGTGCTATGAAGACAAAGTCTGCTCTCGGTTTAGCTTTCTGTTGTTTCCTGCTTTAGTGCTGTTGTCTCTTTGTTTTAGAAATACTGCCTAATTGCAAAATTACTTGAGTCTTTCCAGCCTGATAATTTGACTCTGCAGAAGTGACGTCCGCTGTGCCAGAGACATTTCTCAAAGAGAAAATCAGATCAGAGAGCCGTGGCTGTAGCGAACGTTTTTTTGCCATACTTATGGGACCATAAATTATTAGTCATCTGCTTTGGGGGCTATTACTATAATTCAAAACCATTACTCCCCGAGCTTTTGAATACTTGCCCAGCTCACCATCTTGTTTTATTAAATTGAGATGACAAATGATAGACATCTCCCAGCGACAAGGGGAGGCACAGCACTTCCCCTGCTTCGCTCTCCCCGCAGATCAATTCCCTCCTCTCCTGCATAAGCAGAAACCCTTTGCTGGTTAAATCACTGCTCTGACGTGTCTGAATTACACCTCTGCAGGGGAGAACTCATTTGGCAAATCGAACTTCACCCTGGCCTTGGCAAAGCACGAAACACAACTGCAAATGGGAGAAGGGGGCGGCTGCCCAGGGCTCGCAGCGAGCAAACCAGACACCGTCTGCTGACACGTACCTTTTTAAGGTAAGAAATCCGTTTCTCACATCAAACGTATTTGCTAAAATCCCTGAGGAACTGATAATGTGGACACAACCTCTCCATGAGAATTAGCAATAAACCAGCAGATAAGCAGGAAGTCCAACAGAAATGGGCTTTTGGCAGAGCCCTCAGCATGCTCCTTGTGTTTTCTGCCTGCAGTTGCAGCGACTACAGCAGCTGCTCCAAAAATGGGATGAAAACTCTTCCGAGAGAAGGTTCCAGTGACCACTGCACCGAGAGGAACCGGAGGATACTTTTCCTTCATTTAATGAGAAAAGGTGAACCACGCATTGTGTAATTAGCAGCCAGAAACTAGGAAGAGTTCAATGAAAGTCAAACATGCCCAAAAGTCTGGAAGAGGCTGATTTTGCATATTTTTAAAGATAAATGGCTGTTCTTCATTATGGGCATGACTTAGCTCTCAGCAAAGTTACTGGGTTTTATCTGGAGAAATGTTTTAAACAAATAAATGCTCCCATGCTGAATGTCAGAGGGACTCGGCAACATCAAAGACCCATTTTGCATGGTGCTGCTGCTGCTGCTCTACAGTATCAGAGTTTGTCTTTCGCAGATAACTGAGAAATTTCCAATTTTCAGAAGTTCCCTTCAAAGTCTGGAAAGACGCTCTGTAATTTTCTATTTCTTTTTATAGACGCATCACTTGACCTGGCTGATGGGAGTGCTGAGGAAACGCAACGGGTGGGATGGATGGGGCACCCCTGGGAGACTGAGGCCACGGCACCGGGTGCCAGCAGGACCTCGGGGCTGAAAAAAGGGAACAGGTTTGTGCTGAGGGCAGAACAACCAAAATGCAACAGCAAGTGGGATTCTCGTCTTCTGCTGACAAACTCTCCTCTAAATGGCTGTGTGAAGAGGGTAGTACTTGGAAGCCTGCAATTAATGATTCATTTGCACATGTTCTCTTTTAAATGATGACGGTCATTAAAGCAGTGCCGTTATTACAGTTTGTTACTCACTGTTGATAAATACGGAGCAAGCAGAGACATGAAATGTAACAGAGGGAAGTTCCCCTGAAGGCCCCAGCAATGGAGGAGGAAGAAGAGCAGCCCTGGCTGATGGAGGAAGGGCTTGACCCAAAATCGAGGGGTTTGGGCCGTGCTGGCACCGTGTGGCTGGGGGGGCAGGGCCAGGGCAGAGGCCCCTTCTTTTGGGCAGAATTTTTTCACAGCACACCAGGCAGGGCAGGGCGCGTGTGGGCAATGAAGAAACTCCAGATGTCCACTCTGCAGAGCAGCACGGGGCAGACGGCCACAGGCACAGACCGCTCTGTGCTCCAGGGATAACAGCGCCAGGCATCTGCTTCTCCAGTTATACGCTCAAAAAGACAACTCAGCCCCAGCTTTCCTGTGTTCAGCTTGAGATCAAGCCCTCAATCAGGAAAGACACTGATGTACAGCAGAGGCCACCACTAATCGCTAGAGGAGAGCATGAGGATCAGCGTGAGAGCAAACACTCCATTTGCCAGTGCCTGGCAGCAAATGCTCAGATGAAGATGATGACGATGATAAAGATGATGAAGATGATGAAGATGAGGATGAAGATGCCCACTTGTGATGCCAGCACAGCCTGAGCTCACTCCCACGAAGACACGAGGGTGAAAAAGGGAGGGAGACTCAGCAGCTCTCCCTCAGCCTCTGTGTTCAGGAGCAGATGGACCAGGGAGCTGGCAGCCCCTAGGGCCGGACCGATGGCCCTGACCTGGACCGATGGCCCTGGGCTGGCCCAAACCGATGGTGCTGGCCTGGACCAACAGTGCTGGTCCCCTGGCCTGGGTGGCCCCCATGTGTGTGGGGACCTGGAGCTGACGATGCAGGATACAAAGCCCAGACTGCTTTTAAATAATGCACAAACGCATATGGAGAAGATGATGCGATTACTTGTAACCAACAAATACCATTTCCCATTAATTTCTCTCCAGGAGCCTGTGCCTTTTCTGTTTGGTTTTTTGTTGTTGTTGTTGTTGTTGTTGGTTTTTTTTAAGCTGCACCAGGGATTTTCAGATAACAGTGCTAAAACTTAAAAGGGCAAATAAATACAGGGACCATTTGCTTGCTGGCTCTGTGCACCAGCTCGTGGCAGAAATACCAGAACAGATGATCAGAGGCCTTTTTTCTTTTCTTTCAAGCAGAGCTCCTGACCTGTGCACTGGGGGTGAAATGATTCACTTGGTTTTTAATTTTTTCCAAAGTCCTGGGGGCTCGGCAGTGGTTTTCAAAGTATATTTTAAAAAGTGAGTCATCTTACATGCCTGCCTTTGTTTCTCTGACTTTCGTCACGATAATTTTATCTTTTTTTTTTTTCCTATTGATTATAAAAAAATTTACAGGAATCTTTCTTTCAAACTCCCAGCTGCATCTGAACGACAGCGTAGTAAAATCCCGTAAATTACAAACTGGAGAAGGCACTGCCCTGGGTCGGATGTGGCCGCTGGTACCGTGCTGTGTGGTGCCACGGGTGACACCGACCCTGAGCCAAGCGGCAAACGGGAGATCACTGAGCACCGGCACAACCCTGTGGTCCCCAGTCCCCTGATCCAGATGCTCCCTGCCCAAACCACCACGGCTCACGTACGGCGCCAGTGCTGGAGCCTGGACAGGCTGGTGAAAGCCTGGCACTGCTCACACACAAATAGATCAGATATCCCGTTATGCACAACCTGCACATTGGTTTAATTCTGTCCTGGTTTCACTGGTTCTGCACAGCTGACCAGGGTGGTCACTCCCGATTTACAGTGGTTCAACATGAGACCACAGAACACCTCGTAGAAGAGAGTGTGAGTGTTTAGATTTCCATTATCTGATCTGTGTATCTCCACTGAGAAAATATGACCTGCTGGGTTTTTGCATGGGTGACTGACCAGGCAGCGAGGATGCTCCCCCGATAAACCCTGGCTCGGAGGCCACGCTTCATCTGCGATGCAGAAATGCGCACTGAGGGACGCAGCAGCACTGACAGCGGCTGCAGAGCTGCTGGGGCGGCTGCTGCTCTCAAACCCCCAGGGGAACAGAGCTGTCCCTGGGATGAGCATATCCGAATTTCAGAAACCAGCACATGTGTACAGGACAAAGCGCACTGGGCACGGACGGCTCTTGTCAGAGGAAGAGAAGATTTCACAGAAACACTGGGTTTGACACATACTAATTCAGACTGTGGAGGATCACCCAGCCTCGGATCTCCCTTCCAGTGGAGCTCAGTACCTGAACTTCAGGGGAAAAGAAGATGCTTTTTGTTACATACTTAGTCTGTGGCTTTGAGGGAAAACACCTCCTCAGCCCCAGCTGCAGTGGGAGGATTTATTGCCTTTATTATACTATCTCTGGCCACAAATGCCAGCTTTCTTTTCCTACCTGAAGTGTCAATAGCATGCGTGCCATTTTCCACACCTCTCTCCTCCACAATTTATGACCTAAATCAGGTGAAAACCAAAGAGTTTTATAGAGGAGAGAGAAAATGGAGTGCAAGGAGGAGGAAAATGCTAGAGATGGACAAAGTGTTACCCAGGCGTTTCAGCCCTATTTTATCATCTGGGGCTTCATCAAGTGAGTCTCTTCCTCTGGAGATGCTTAGAGCAATTACATTTGTTCTATTTATTCTCCAGCAAAGGCTTGGGGATGAGTCAACAGAAAAATCTTTTAGGATGAAAAAACTGAAACTTGAAATAGGCGATATCCCTGGACAATTTGTTCTGCAATCAGAACAGCGTTCTGTTTCCTTACTGCTCTCAATCTCTAATTTATAAAAAAAAAGAAAGAAACCAATATGGTAACAGTCACATCTGTAAATACAGCCCCTTTTATTCTTGCTAGCAAGCTCAAGGAGCTATATCGAGGCAATGCAGAGATTCTTGGAGTTCATTTCTGGTGAGAAAATTCCCTCAGCTCCCGTCAGAAACTCCCAAGCAAGAGCAGAAGCTCTCTGAAAACCTCAAACCAGCTCAGTCGTGCACCGCGCGCGCATTAAAAGGAAAGAATAGCTCCACACACCTCTTTGAAAGACTTCTTCACCTCCACTAATGGATGCCAGTGCGCGATGGGCTTGCGTGGGTACGCCAGCATCTCGTTCCAGTGGTCCCTGCCCAGGCCCTCGGCACTGACGCCCACGCGGCAAACCCCGATGATCTCGTTGTGACCCACCCTGAAGACGACAGAAAAGCGGCGCCGTTACCTCCTGCCCAGAGCGCCTGCGCACGGCACCGTTCGCTCTCCTAGCAGGTAATTTTCCACAACCTTAAATATCAATGACACTTCAACAATAAATGACTGGAGACAGATTGGTGCCACAGAGCCGTGCGCTCAAGGCTGATACCGAGGAAAATGGCTGCTGAGCAGGAAACCCTGCACCCAGAGGATGTTTTCCCCTCCAGCTCCCCCGAGCCTCCCACCTACCGATCGTAATCCATGACGGAGATAAGCAGACTGACTTGATCCATGTTCTCTGGGGGGATGTCAAAGATTATTGCTTCATTGTAAGTGGGATTAAGCGTGTTTTTCTTTATGGTGGTTTTCTTCTTTTTCAGTCTTCGCCCATCACAGAGCAAAGACACTTTCACATATGGATCTGGAGAGGAAGAGATAGGAGAAGGCCTTCTGCTTATGGAGGTTTATTCTGTCACCATCACAACATAGAAACAGCATTACCCAAGGATGGGCTGTAAGACACCACGAGCAGAAGGCACTGCTCAGCTGTACTTTTACAGAAAGGGATGTCTGTGTACCAGCTGAATCCACCATTTCTGGTACCAGTGTGTGCTGACACGCGGTTCAGGCACTGGGGAAACAGCGCTGCACACTCCTTGGATGAAAAAGTCAGCCATTTCCATCCGTTTTTCTGTGATAAGTGTCTGCAAGTGTCAGAAGGCTCCGTCTCAAACCAGAGCCAATGTTCATCAGAAGACGACGACGAGTGCTGGGCTCTCCGGCATCGTAGCTTGGGTTAACTGCATGGCCACAGACAGCAAACCCAGTGCTTTCGCTGTAAAAAACTGTAAGTTTTTCACAATTTACCTAAGAGAGCAAAATGTGATGCAGCGTTTTGATGATGCAAACAGGCAGAAAGGGTTATTTTACACTGCTACCGAAACTATCCTATTGCTAACGCTATGTAGCAGAGTTGCAGCGAGTAGGGGAATTTTAAAACCCATTTTCCCAGTGTCAGAGAGCAGCAGAAAGAAAAGGCATTAGGACAACTCTGCTTCACGCACTTTGCACTGGTGGATCATGGCAGAATGCCTCAAGTTACAAACAGCTCCACTTTGCTGTAGTGGCTTCCCAGGTGATTTCAATGCATTTTCAAGTAACAGCAAGTGTGTTATTACAGAAATGCTGAGCTGGCTTCATCTGAAGTCCCAGTTCTCAGGCATTTCATATGGCATCAAGCTCCAACTGAGTAGAAATGTTTTCTGCAAAGACCTTTTGCTGTATTCTTACTGCTCTTTATACAAGTCATCAGCGAAATTCAAATATTATGGATGATCTCTGGAAAAGAAACTGCTTTTCGTGTTCAAACCCAGGATTTGTGCATGCTGGATCTGCAAGCCAGCTCTTTGGAGCTGTGACTGCATACAGTCTTCAGGTGACTTTGGTCCTGATGGCCAAGGAACACAGGCTTACCCGGGAGTTACCAGAGTGGCCTCTGGTCCTTTAATCTTGGGGTGAAATGGATGATTTGGGAGTCCACTGATGGAAAACTCCCTGATCCCACAGAGCTGCTGGGGTCAGTGTCTGCACAGACCTGACACATCCAGCCTAAGAGATGGACCAGAGCTTTCCCCTGCAGAGCCTTCAGTGGGGATGGCAACGCTGGCAGCTCCTTGAACAGCGCATTCATGTGTATAATCGCTGTCCCCGGATTCATGCCCTTGGGAATGGGTTTAAGAGATAATTCTGCTTTAAAAATTTCGCTCATACTTAAAACACAGACAAAGCTTTGTCAGGTGTTTCCGTGGTGACACAGCCTTGGCAAAAAGGGACGCATGCCCACGGCCTTGAGGGAGGAGGCAGACGTGTGGGGACCCTCTCGGCCGCCGAGCACCCACCTGAGTAACCAGTGATATCCATAGCTTTGAGATTCCTGCATTTAATGACGGTTAAGGTGAGGCGACCTGCAGTTGGCAAATAACAAAGGGAAAACATGATCTCTCCCAGGTCCACGCTTTCCTTCAATAAAACAGAGAACACATTATATTGGAAACGTGCAAGAACCAGCTCGGCTGCCTCCCCCTCCACCACGATGCTCTGTGCAGGATCCACGCAGCACTCACACCAAAACGGGCTTGTCTCTGCTCTGTGGTTTCCAACTGAATGACGCTTTGCTATACAGCAATGATTCCAGTGTATCCCAACCTTATTTGGCTGAAAATGAATAACGGGAACAGGAAAAAAATGTGTGTCCAAATGTTACGGCTTCAGATCATAATTAAGGGTAACCTTCCACGGCCTCGGTGGAGTGTGTGCTTCCTATCACAGAATTACAGATAATGCACTCCTCTTTTCCTGCTCCATTGCTCACACAGAAGTGAAGTGATCTCTAACACCAAATGAAGGCCATTAAGGAAATTATATCAGTATCAAGTTTTGCTTGAACATACAGTATACATTTTCTAGTGCCAAGTGTGTGACACTTCTATCTATTTCTAACTGGAGGAGAGTGGCACAAGCACCGAGGGACACCACAGCAAGGACAGACCTTAACGTGCGGCGGTGCCGTGTCCTTGGTTGTGCGTGGCAACAAGTGCAACGTGTGGCGTTCTGGTACATGCAGTGCCATCAGCTCAGTAATTTATGGACTTTACAGGTTTTTTTGGTGCCTAACATTTCAGCAGAGAATGCAGCCATCTCTGAGTAACACTGTGATTGTCCCTAAGTTGAGCGTGAGTTATGGGGCAGTTACAGACCGGGGTAAAAGCTTTAAAACAGAGGAGAACCATGAAGGGCACCATTTAGCAGCGACTGAGCTTTCTATGTGACAATAAACTATCGTTTGGGCCACCAAACCCTTTGAGATGCCTTCAAAGAGCTAATAAATGCAGCTGCAGTATGTATATACATAGTGAATGTATATGTACATACATAAATAGTGCATTAACCAGCAGGTGGCACTCAGAAATGTTTGGCAGTTTCTGGATTACACAGAGACCAACACAATTTACTCTTTTGGTGCTCCATAAAACAACTTTTACACATCACTCTGAGCAGCTCTTGTCCATGCAGCATTATCTACTACACCTCCTAAAAGCCCTTTCCTTCATTGCCTTGCTCATGGGAATGAAGGAAAAAAAAATAAACAAATCAAAAGTATTGTTTAAACTAGAAAGCATTAGCATCTGAAGTCAGCAGAAAGATTTCCAAACATCTTCCAAAAGCAGATTTTTAAAAAAAATTGTTTTAACATACAGATCCCACATCTGCACAGCAAACAACCTGTTTATTTTTGGAAACGGAGTGTTTGATTCATTTCAATGTGATATAATGATCTGCTGAAAAGCAATTGTGGCTGTTAGTAGTAGATTGATGGAACTAGAAAGACAAGTAAATGTATTAGGTACTTAGAGCTTTGCTAAGTGTTAGGAGAATAGATCTTGTTGACGGATGAGATTTTTGCCAAATTATTTCCTTCTCATTCTCTGGTAAGGCAAAGATTAGATATTTATTCCACTTAGACATTGAGAATACTAATGAATGTTATAGAAAAGTCTTGGTTCTTGAGAAGATTTCACTTCACTAGCAAATAAACTGAAGATCTTCTTGAGCATGGAGGGTACAGAAGAAACAGTGGCAGCCAAATGTGCTCTGGACAGAGCACCGTACAACCAGACTTGTAAGTGTCTGAATAAACATTGTCTATTTGCTGGTAAATAAGAGCTTAATGCTCTCACCTGCTCAGAGTTCCCACTCTGGTCTCTTGTCTTAATGAACTCAGGGCATCCAAGCAGCTTTCCTTGCACTGTCACCAAATGATCCCAGGTGCCAGCTCTGCCACCACCGACCAGTCACAACCAGGTGAAACATTCACCGTGTTATTATTCCTCTGCCTTTAGCACCTCTCTAGGTGTCTGCTGGGAGCTAAATTGCTTGCCTCACAAAATATTACCGAAGGTTCCTTGTTAAGGTACCAGGATCATTATCATCACACACAAAAGAGCTTTTAGAGACCCTGCAGTTTCAGCTCTCAGCAGACTCCAGCGTGGCCAATTTTCATGGGACGGGGAGCTCAATGTTTTACAGAGCTCCATTCACTTACAGCGCCTTACACCGACCACGCAGAAATCCTGCACTCGAAATTACAATTTGCTTTTTAAAACATGGCCCTTCTTGTTACCCTTAGAGGTATTCTTCCTCTTTTAAGATGAATTGCTTTACATGACAAAGAGCCTGAATAAGTGACTGCACCAAGCAGGCCCTTTGTGAGCGCCTGGGAGCTGCTGCAAACGCTGCGGCCACGTCTGGACAGAGCTGGAGGGCTGGGGATATGCCTTTTCACTGCAGTGTCTCCAGCTCCCACCAGCTACCAGTCCTAGCTATGGACTTTACTGACAATAGAGAAGAATTTAAAACAAATATTGTGAAATTACAATTAGAAGTGGCTGTTCTATTCCCAAAACAAGCACCTGCATCTCATGGTGTGCGGCTGCACCGGACGCTGTGTCCACCGCACAGCACAGCAGCCATGGGCACCCGGAGGACATGGTGGGCTGGGTCAGGTCCTTCACCCGCCCTTCGGTCTGCAGCAGATTGGGAGGGTGAGGGCAGAAACCTTGGACACAGATGTCAGGAGAGAGCAGCTCTGTACGAGATTTTGAGGGCATCTCTGGGCATCACTGCATCTTCCATTCCTCTCCTTGCAACAAGAGGACCCCTTTGGGGTATAAAACTCACATAAATTGTTCTTTGACCTCACTGTATTAGGTCAAGAGATTTTTCTTTGCAACCACAAATACAGGAGAGTAAAACATGTCCTGTGGGCACATTGTTTTCTTGCAGATTATAGACATTGGGACATTTCCAACATTCCTATCAGTAGCTCTCAGGAAATAATGGAAGCTCTCAATCAATAACCTTTGCAGACTTGAAACCAAAAATGTTTCACTGATTCACAAGCTGTACAATCATTAACCAAATAGCTGAGTGCTAGCTATCTGAATAACTCATATCATTGCTTAAGTGCGACCCTATCTTCTTGCCCACACGATTGATCTAATGTATTCTTAGTCACCCAGAGCTTTCCTTGGGTATTATGAAAACTGTATTTACCCTTCTCATTTTTGATTAAACAGAGATGTCCTTGGGTGTGTTACAACTGGCTGAGATGCACCGATATTGGCCCATGCACAGACAGAAGCGGGGAACGGAGCCAACTGCGGCACTCGACGTTTCTATGGGAGCTCTGCAGCACCACGCGTCCTGGGCTTGACACTGGCAAGACCCACATCAGGCTGTGGAGGAGCTGCCAGCAACACAGCAACACGCTCCCAGTAACGCCCAGCACCTCCCATGGTGGTACTGGCCCTCCAGAGCCATTTCTTGCTGCTATCATGTGCATGTGGCAGACAACCAGACCCTTCATGTGCTGACAGGAGGCCAGACAGGGACAGACTGAACCCCTCCGCTGTTTTTTAGCAAACCTGGTATCAGTGAGATGCACTGTGGGTGAGAGAACAGCAAGTCACTAAGTAAGGGGGTGAAATTCCAGCAAACTGGGATTCTGGTGAAGCTGACAGGCTCCTGCACATCACAGCCTTTGCCATCTCTGTGTGTGGTGGCTGTAGGTCCCCAGGGCTGACAGTGCCGTCTGCAGGGAGAGCCCACCCCACCCTGCACACGCTGTACCTGTCCTCCACACCCACGGGCACTGCAGACGACCCCTCCACAGCAGATACTCACCGTGGTCGCATACTGGATGTCCTTCCAGATGGACGTCTCCCGGGAAAGGTCCGAGGCCTCGAACAGGTTCTCCAAGATGACTTCTCCTATCATGTCGTGCCTGGAGAACCTGTCAAAGTCAAAGACGCTCAGGTGGAGCTTCCTGCTCGTCAGCTCCTCGTGGGGCACGGGGAAGTGGAAGGACTCATCGAAGGTGGGATTCAGGGTCTTCCTGTGGACTCGTGTCTGGAACTTGCGCTTCCTGTCGGGCAGGAGGTAGATCTTCACGTAGGGATCTGAGCTGCCGCAGAAGTCTTTGGCTGGCAAGTCAAACGCCCTGAGAATCCGGACAGTCAGTGTCTCGTTCTCGTAGTCATACTTGAGGGTGAAGTTAATTTTCCCACAGGTCTTTGCTGCCTCTTTTTTGGGGTCCTCAGAGTCAACAGATTTTTGCTTATAGAGCTCAGGCTTAATGCGACCGATGCTGGTGGGCTGCTCGGCCACAGCCGGCGGGTCCATGCCATAGTCCATGCTGGATACGTGCATTTGCCGAGGAAGGTGCCTTTTGAAGGAGATGTGCCTGCAGGAGGAAGACACGACAGCTGCATGGCTTTCCAAGGACATTCCTCTCATTTTTCTTCCTGCATTACTAACACTAGGAAAGCAGGGAGAGTACAAGACATGCGCAATGGGGGTACAGAAACCACACACATTATGGAAACGAACACCAAAGGGAATGCATCCAGTGTGAAAGAAACTGATCCAGCAAATTTCCTAACTTTCCGAGTACTTGCAGAAAGCTGCATTTTTTCACTTGTTACACAAGCAACACCCCACAGCTAAATATATGAGACCAAAGAACTCCTTAGCCAGGTCACAGACAACCCCGCGTGGAGACTTTCCCACTCCCAGTCCTTACAACTCCAAGATCCCAGCATCAAGCTTCCCTTAGACAAAAAAACTTTTAAAGCAAGAGAACCATGACCAGCTCAGAGCCAGGTTTTGTCCTGGGTATTGCTGCTCCCAGACCCCTCGCAGACTCCACAGGAACCGACAGTGACTCCTGGCAGGGAGGAACGCACAGCCTCGTCTGTCCCCTGCCGTGAGTCCCCTGTCAGAACAAGGGATCCATAGCAAAGCTTTATCTAAGCAAAGCATGAGCTTTCTGTGGACTCATGGCATTATTTCAGATTATCTGGTGTTTACAAGAGCAGTATATGGGGTTATTTAACTGGAGTTATTTAACTGGTGCAGCCAGAGGTTTAGCTGTTGGTGGTATGTGGTGCTCAGAGGCCTCCCTTCCCTCAGCAGCTTCCTCAAAGGCGTTTTGGCCTGGGCTGTTCATCAGAGACCCTGACCTGCTGGGACTGTCACAGTGTCCCTGGCCCTGGCTGTCTGCCTGTGCTTCACGCTGAGCTCATTTGCCTGAGAAAGAGGGTTTGAATCCTTCCCACACACAACCGAGTCCTCATTCGTCCTAATTCGGACAGGGGGAGCTTTTGCTTTCTCCTCTGCTGAAAAGGTGCAATAAAAGCAGAGCGAGCATATGCTTAACAGAGGCAATCAGCTGTCCAAATAAATAAAGGAATTAAATAAAGGAGCGTGTGACACAATTGCAGGCGGCACCGTGTTGATTTTAACTCTTGTCTTCTTCAAACAGAAGGCTGCGATCAGTGCCTTATTAATTCTGCAACACTGCAGCCAATTTCTGCCTGTTTTCGCAGTTGCGCTCTCGCGCACACCGTGGGCACGGCAGAAGTGCTGGGGCGCCGCCAGGACCCTGCCATCGCCCGCTCCTGTCCCACTTTCACAGCCGTCTGCGTCGAGGAAGAGGCACCACATTTCTCAGTATTCTTGCCAAAAAGGCATCCCAGGTCCACCCAGCCCTGTCCTGATTTACAGATGACGGTGTCAACGTCTCCACCCCAGCTCCGAGACAGGCACCATGCACGAACTGCGAGCACAGCCAGTCCTGGGCGTGTGCAGCGAGCGCGGCACCCGTCCTGCCCATGGAATCACTTCTGCTGGGAGCGAAAAGGCCTAATTCTGTCTGACAGCACAGCATCACTGATACTGCAGCCTGCCTCTCATGTCGGAACAAAATTAAAGTGGCCGAAGCACGCTGACGGCTTGACACAATGAGGTCAACTTCAGTAACGGGGCTTGAATCCCGGATTTTTGTTAAAGGGCTGACAGAAAGCCGGTCTTAACGTATTAATTGGTTAATGAGCAATCTTTGGCAAGTAACCCATCGCGTAGGTGGAAGCGCTTTCTTTGGGCTCCCTGGCAGTATCTGACCCCCCAGCTGCACCCCCCCGAGGTGCAGCACCCCCCGTGTCCCGCTCACCTGGTGGAAGACGCGGGCTCCGTTGTCTGCCTCTGGATCCGCGTGCGCCGCATGAGGTGGTCTTTCATGGACATCTGGACCTCTGCGGGGATGTCTGGCGACGTGTGGCTGATCTTCACCGCGGCCTCCAGGAAGCTGATGGCGCCCCTGTCCTTCAGCTTGTCCGCCATGTTCTCCTGGCTCTGCGCCACGGCCGGGCTGGGACAAACGGCCTTGTTCCTCCAGGGAACCCAGCACAGCTTCCAAAAGAGAAGGAGGAAAACTGCCACCAGGGCCAGGCCGCACACAGCAACTACCACTGCCAGGAGGCGCACGGAGAGCTCTACAGGGAGAGAAGGTGACAGCGACAGGGAAAGGGAAGGATGGGGGGAGACAGAGAAGAAAGACAGTGAGAAAGCTGTGAGTAAAGGGAAGAAGTGGATCAAAGTGACTTACATCACGACTGATGGAGAACTCTTAGCAGCTTCTGCAAGCAAGAGTCAAACCCAGGTGAGCATCCCTGACAGACGTGGGACCCAACACATCAGAGGAGAAAGGGATGTCAGACTTAGACTGTCAGACAGGCTGTCAGAGCTACCGAGCTTTATACTGCAATGCTTATGTTGGCTATAAAATACCATCCTTGGTTTGTTTTGTGGCACTGGTGAACTGCTGAGCCTGAAAACGGGAAGAACTGCAGAACTGAATGATAGAAACAAGCTCCAGTGCTGTACCAGCAGAAACTGCCTTTGTGCTCTGTACCACAGGTGTTCAGACACTGTATTAAAAAAATCTATTTACCACAATCCTGGAATCAGATTGTTGGTGTACCATCAATGCTCACATCTTGTCCAGATGTGCCCATAGGGAACAGAAAGGAAATACTGATGAAATAAAAAGAAAATCACGAGCTGCTGATGCAATGAAACCAAACATAGAAGCATGCTGTACAGAAAGTACTGTGCATTTTCCCTTATTCTGAACAGCACAGAGGCTGTGTATGTGCTCTGCCTTTCTGAGTCACGTTTACCTCACACACTACGTATTTCAGCATTTCAAGCTTTTTCTGGAGAGGAAGGATCTTCCATACGTATGGCTGAAGAATCAGGAAAAAAAGATGATAGACATGTACATATACATATATATATATATGCACGATTTAGGCTGCGATATGATTCATAGCACTTCAAAAAGAGAAAACACTGGCTATTTTTAGCTCCTTTCTTACAGGGTATTAATTCCCATATCCCCATCCAAACCAAAGTTCCAGCAGTTAAGGATCACGAATAACACCGGTCCCTGACGGTGAGGACAGGTTTTGCACTGCGGTGCAGTCCCAGGGCTGCTGTGGTTCATGGACAATCCCTTGACTGCTCGCTGTGTTATTAGCAGTGTCCAGTAAAGCTGCATTCCTTACATTACCAAAGTGCAAATCAGGACAAAAAGACAGGAAAAAATTACCAAACACTCCCGAAGTTCACACAGAATAACCATTACCTCTGTTTCTGTGTCTGCTTGGACCGTAAATGTTTTGTGTGGCCATACGAAACAGACGGCAGCTGCTCAACCCACCAAAAAAAAATCTGTATTTCAGCTCCTCACCTCCAGGAGCTCTCAGAAACACTGAACTCACTCAGAAACTGCATTTGAAACAAGCTCCCACAAAATTCATCCTTACCAGGCAGCTCAGCTCTTAGAAGATAAACTGAGAAACTCGTGCCTGTGCTCCATCTATAAATGTGATCCCTGGCATACGCTTTACCTTAACTGAAGCCATAAGAAGACCTTCTCTTTCCTCTTGTCATACAGTTTAGTTTTGTACAGCTGTAATAATACCTTTAATGTTTAAAGCTGAGAAAACATAAAATATGAGGAAATACTACGTTTTCTCATGAAAACATAGATGAATTTAAAAAAATCATTTTAAAAGATAAATAAATAAACCATTGGTGAACCATAACAGCAAAGAATGCAGGAGCCCATTTGTTTCATTACACTATTGAGGATTTTCTCATCAGTTCTTCTAAGCGAAACCTGAAGGAAGCAGCAGACGCAAGCTGTGACATCTACACTGGAGCAAGACAGCAACACCCGGGAAACCATCTGGTGTTGCTGATATCCCAGAGGAAAGGGACTGTTTTTCCACAGAAGTCCCTTGCTTAGCAAATTCACTGAGAGCCTGAGGCAAAGCTTCTTGACTGCCCATGAGCGAAAGGGAGGGCTGGAAGCTGCAGCAGACGGGAAGAACAAGTGGAGAAATTAAGGAATGGGAAAATGAAGGAATGGGAAAATGAAGGAATGGGAAAATGAAGGAATGGGAAAATGAAGGAATGAGAAAATGAAGGAATGAGAAAGAGCCATCCTGAGGTTCCTGCAGCTTCTCTCTCTCACCCGCCTCCTGTACCGGTCAGGCCACACCATTCACCGTCTGCTGTAGCTCCGGGGTAGAGACACAGATCAGTGCTGGGGTGAGTCAAGAGGTGCTGTCTTATTCACTAATAAATAGGATTGTACAAGTCAGCGGTGGAGCTTCCTTAGAGGTTTGGCTAAATGCAGCCTTGCCAAAGCCGAGAGCGCAGAGGTGCCACTTTCCTGTGCCTTTTCCTTAAAGGCTTGGAATTGTGCCCAGGAAACTCAGTGTCAAGCAGTTTCATAACAAAACCAAGAACCTGGGCTTTTGGCAAATATGTCTGTACTGTTACAAAGGAAATAGTTGCAATGCAGAATCTGTCACTGCTGGGAGCTGTTACGAGACAGAAAAGTCTCTGTTAAGACACTTCTGCCCATTTCAAGAAGTTATAGAGCACACCCGGCTCATTAATGGAAAACATCAGAAATAATCAGTTATCTCTGCTGAAAACCTGTTGCCAGCTTGAGAAAGACCTTAGCTCCTGTCACTGCTCACTGAGCCGGCATTCGTAATGTATTTGACAGGATTCACAGATACTTTTATGCATGACCTCCTACTCCTTCCTCTGACAGCTCACATAAAACACAAGTAGAAGGGATCAGGATTTTACAGACATTTTTTAAGCATCTGCCTGGGAAGAATATTGGTTTGTCTGAAGATGACATTGAATTCCCCAAGACTTTTTCGTGACTTATTAAACTCGGATATCAGTTGGACAGAGCTGACCTTAATTGATTTAATGAGCTTTCTCTTATGAATTTGAAAATGCCACTTGCTTTTAAAAAAATACCTAGTATTCAAAATGTTATGCTTTAAATGCCCTTTAACTTACAAGAAACTGTAAAAACAAGATAATTTCTTATTTCACAGAAAATGCCCCAGGGCCAGAGGTTGCTTGGGTCGTGCTGGCACGGATGGAGGTAAGGCTTGTTCCCAAAAACTGCTCAGAGACAGAAGAGACCAAAGGCACCCTCAGCCCAGGGGAAGATGGGCTGGTTTGTGTTAACCCGCCCTGCGCTCAGAGCCAAGGGCACAAAGGAGGTGGTCTGAAGTCTGCCAACCTCACCAGCAAACAGGCTCTTTTCTCTTTTGACGTGACGTCTTGGTTTGTGTTTTTAGTGGTTTTGTAACATCTGAAAACCTTGCTACCGAGTCTTACAACAAAGCTCGCAGAATGGCCCAAAACTATAAAACCGCTGGGAAGGTCACTGCTTTCTACTGCCTTTCAAACAGAAGACGAGGTGGCCCCGGGCAGGACGAAGGGGCAGCGCAGCAACTGAAAGCCACAGAGCGAAAAGCAAATTCAGGAAGGGGATCATTGCTCGGTCAGTGCAGCCCCTGCCCTGCCCCGTACCCCAGCACCGGGTGCAGCTCGTCAGTACAACGACCCATTTGTTTCAACTTGGATGGGAACTAATTAAGAGAATATGGTGGAACTGCCTTTCAGCTCCATGTCCCCGATTACTTCATAATACCCAAACTGAGTTACCAAAGGGGATAATTAGCAAAGTCCAAACAGAAAACGATTAATAATATGACAAAGCCGTGATTACAACAGTCTATTAACTGCAAGACAATACTGGTCTAATTATGGCAACATTGACTTTTATTACTGTGAAGCAGCTTGTGCTATCATTAAAGAGATTCACGGATAACTCCGAGTTTAATGTGAAGAGTTATATTTAATACCTTGAAGATGTAATTTAGCTTTCCTTCCACCCACTCCCCACAGAGAAAACAAAACACATTTGATGGCTCCCTCCTCACTCCAGCATCCATTACTCGTCCCAGCGACCTGTTGGGTTTAAAGAAAGTTTGAAACCATGAGTGGTGTTCAAGGGGGAGCTGAAAACATCAGCGGCTCTGGGCTGAGACCCTGCCAGGCTCAGCTGTGGGGGCCCCACACCCCTGGGGGCACGGCTCTGCCTCCAGCGCAGACCCCGCCACAGCCCCGGCCCATCCCAAGCTGGCGGACGTCGTCCCTGAGGGAGCCGAAAGCTCAATGGAGCCAAGGAAAATGTTGGCATGGGGAGCACTGGGTGGTTTGTTCCCATCAGGTTCCTCTCAGCTGGAGCAGCAGCTCCCAGCTGCTCCTGTACCATCCCAGTGAGCTCCCAGCTTCTCCTGTACCATCCCAGTGAGCTCCCAGCAGCTCCTGTACCATCCCAGCGAGCTCCCAGCAGCTCCTGTACCATCCCAGCGAGCTCCCAGCAGTTACTGGAGACGGCAGAGCCCCGAGTGGGGATGTTCCCTAACCTGGCTTCTACCTCCTGCGCCACTGGTTTGCCAGTGTCAGATATTGACCATTGCTTGGACCATGTCAGGAAATACTTCCAGGATTCTCTGTCCATTTGTACGACATTTTTTTACTGCAACGATGCCTGTGAGAATATATTGTTCTATTTCTGCAGGGCTGTGTAGAGATCATGCATTCAAATGATGGATTACTATGAGAGTTATTGCTGGAGGAGAAGACAGGCAGCTCTGGGGCTACAAAAGACCACGTGAGGCACCCACCAACCGCTGATCTAATTTTCTCCCAATTGAGAAGCATCAGCAATGTAAGTCTGATTAGCTGAGGGCTGGAAACTGTGGTGAATCTTGGACGGCAGGAGCACAGGAAGCGCAAGGCAGCAGGCGAAAAGGAAGAGGTTTCTATTAGGTCCTGGCCATGGACTTGTTTATTTAGCAGAGCCACTCAGCTTTGCAGCTTTGCAGAGGAAGGAAGGGACTGGGCAGAACAGGAACCAAGGCAGCAGCACCACAGCCCTGGGCTGCTCCGGGGCCAGGCGAGCAGCGGCTCCAGCTGCTTTTTGCCACGAAGCACACTCGAATCTTGTCTTGTTACACCTCATCAACCACCAGTGATCCCACAAAAAACAGCACAGTGGAAGTCAGTTGAAAATAATGTGAGAGCAGAAAGAC